TGAACCCTGGCCAGCATGGCCTATAGTGAAGTATGATGAGAAATGCAGTCCACCAGCACCTGGAGGGCTGTACGTTGTCCTGAGTTGGCAGAAGAAGTCACAGGGGTAAAAGCTGAGAGGAAACTCGAGGCAGTTTGAACCAGGTTGAGGCCTGTTGTTCTTAATTAACCAGGTGGTATATACAGTATTGATTAATGAATATTTATGTTGATCATCTTGCCTCAGCTATTTCCTGAGGGAAGAGAAATGTTACAAGCACCTGGAGGGCTGTACGTTGTCCTGAGTTGGCAGAAGAAGTCACAGGGGTAAAAGCTGAGAGGAAACTCGAGGCAGTTTGAACCAGGTTGAGGCCTGTTGTTCTTAATTAACCAGGTGGTATATACAGTATTGATTAATGAATATTTATGTTGATCATCTTGCCTCAGCTATTTCCTGAGGGAAGAGAAATGTTACAGCCAGTAGGTGTCTTAATTAACTAGGTGGTATATATTGATTAATAAATATTTATGTTAATCATCTTGCCTCAACTATTTCCTGAGGGAAGAGAAATGTTACAGCCAGTAGGTCTGAAGTTATCGGTGTCATTAAGGGATAGGGATGCTCTGTTACTCTCACCACCACCACCCTCACCACCCCAGATATAGTTCCTGGGCCAGCCTCACCATCACCACCCCAGATATAGTTCCTGGGCCAGTTCTTAATGACAGTGCATGTTTTGGGACTATAATCTGAAGGACTTTGGGAATAAAACTTGACTCATGCTCCAGAGAGGTTTGGTTCTGCCTGCAATGTGGTCCTTTCATGTAGGCACACTTTCCCTTCAGTATTTATCCACTGAACTTGAATGGTATTCGGGACCCACTTTAGGGGGGAATCTCTTCTCTTCAAGCTCCCGGCTTCCACTGTGGTCAGCTCCATTATGAGAGGGAGGTTTACTGGGAGCAGGAGGAAAGAACATTTTGAGGCTCTGGGCCATCATCAGCTGAAGCCACTTGAAATGTGGGATTTGTGTGTGAAGATGTAGAATGAAGCTGGGCCTGTTTGTCCTTTCCTGCCTCCCTGAGATATAAATAGAAGCAGGCAATGCATTCTTCTGTAGCTTGATTTTTTTTTCTTTTTAATGATGGGCCCCCTTGGCATTTGGACAGGAATCCCTTGCTGTTGCTTGCATATTGATTGATTGATTGATTTGATTTCAATGCATTCTAGCTGGAATTTTTTTTCTTTTTAATGATGGGCCACCTTGGCATTTGGACAGGAATCCCATGCTGTTGCTTGCATATTTATTTATTTATTTATTTGATTTGATTTGATTTGATTTGATTTGACTTGATTTGATTTGATTTGATTTGATTTGGTCTGTTCGACCAATCTGGGCGGCTTCCAATAAACATATATACAATAAAAACACAGAGATTTTACAAACAATCCATAACACATACAATACTAAAACAGATAATAAAGAAAGAAAGAATAAAGGAAAAATTAATTATTGACAGGAGGGAAGGCCTGAATGTGCACCCATGTTTTTAGTTGACTCTTAAAGGTGCCCAGCGTGGGGGCTGCACAAATCGCCGGAGGAAGATTATTCCAGAGGCAAGGAGCCACCGCTGAGAAGGCCCGATTTCGTGTCCTTTCCTTCCGGGCCTCCCTCGGCGTTAGGCTCCTCAGCCTCACCTCCTGAGTCGTGCAGGTGATCTGAGTTGATTTTGGTGGGAGCAGGCGTTCCGCCAAGTATCGAGGTCCTAAACCATTTAGGGCCTTATAGGTAAGCATTAACACTTTGAAGTCAATGTGGAAACGGATGGGCAGCCAGTGCAGCATGGCCAGGGTAGGAGAAATATGTTGGTTTTTTTCTCACTCCGGTAAGGAGTCTGGCCGCTGCATTCTGCACCACCTGAAGTTTCCTCGTCAGCTTCAAAGGCAGCCCCATGTAGAGCGCGTTACAGTGATCTAATCTTGAGATTACAAGCACATGCACCAAGGTAGTGAGCGCCCCAGTGTCAAGGTAGGGTCGCAGCCAGGCAATCTGCCAAAGGTGGAAAAAGGCGGTGAGGACTATCGATGCCACCTGCGTTTCCATGGTGAGCGTCGGGTCCAGGTGTACCCCCAGGCTGTGAACCCCACTCTTTGCGGCCAGGGTCACCCCACCCAAACATGAGAGAGTCGCCCAAGCCACCATCCACAGGGCCACTCACCCTCAGAACTTCCATCTTGTCCGAATTCAGCCTCAGCCCGTTTTCCTGCATCCATTGCAGTACAGTCCCCAGGCAGCGCTGGAGGCATCAGAACGGCATCACCTGTGGCTGGTGAAAAGGAGATGTAGAGCTGGGTGTTATCAGCATATTGATGACACGATGCTCCACACCCCCTGATAACCCCACCCAGCGGCCTCATATAAATGTTGAACAGCATTGGGGAGATAATAGACCCCTGTGGAACCCCACAGGGCCGAAACACTCTCTCCAAGCTGCAGTCTTTGGGACGATCCTCCAAGAAGGAACGGAGCCAGGCAAGTGCCAAGCCACCGATTCCCAACTCGGAGAGCCTCCCCAGGAGGATACCGTGATCGACGGTATCAAAGGCCGCTGAGATGTCGAGGAGGACCAACAGAGATGTATTATCCCTGTCGGCCTCCCTCAACAGGTCATCATACAGGGCGACCAGTGCCATCTCTGTACCGTGGCGCGGCCTGAAGCCCGACCAAAACGGATCCAGGGCATTTGTTTCCTCCAAGTGGGCCTGAAGCTGGTGGGCGACCACTCTCTCAACCACTTTGCTCATGAAAGAAACATTGGCGACGGGCCTATAATTGCCAATTTCATCCGCTGCCAAACTAGGTTTCTTCCTTATGGGCCTAATGAGTGTCTCCTTGAGGGCAGAGGGAAACCTGCCCTCAAGGAAATACTCATTTATTATTGCTGTGGCCCATTTTGTTGTTTTCGGCCTGGCTGCTTTGATTAGCCAAGCTGGGCAAGGGTCCAGGGAGGAGGTGGTGGCTCGACAGCTGTCAAGCACCTTGTCCACAGAGTCAGGTGTCACAGGCTGAGAGGAGTCAAGGGTTACCGGACAAGACGGAGTGCTGGACATCTCAGCTTGACTCACTGTGTTCAAAAATTTTAGTCACAATTGGTTCAGTTTGGTTTTTGCTGTGAATTTATTTTTTCATCTTAACTTTGACAGACCAATCATGTGAGGAATATAAAAGATTGCTTGGTGTTTAACCTCATTCCGCCAAAAAAAAAAAGTTTTGTGGATTTGTTGTGAGTCATACCACATAAGCATCAGTTTATTGCAGAGTTTTGCAGTTTGTGTTGGTCAGTGTTTTTACCATAAAAGAAACCTATGGGAGTTACAGAGAAATTCTACCTCATCTGCAGCTTTGTTGACTCATATTGGTGAGAAAGCGGGTGAGGACGAGCCCTAATATATTGCATTTTGAATTTTCTTCTTGATTTTAAGGTTCGTGTTATTTCAAATGGTGAACCTTGTGGGCTATCAGAATTTTGGGGGAAAAAATTAGGTTAGAGAGTCTATTTTTAGTCTTGTGTCTCACCAACTGTTATTCTTTAATGAACCTTCAAGCTAGTTTGATCCTGCACATGGCTAGAGCTGTAATTAATTCTTTACATGGCTGAATGAATGTACTACAAATGATTCGGCACCAGTCTGTGTGCATTTCAAATTGCATGTTCACTTTCATTTGATCAACATATCAAAAGGAGCATGTTATGGTTCTGGGTGATTTCCCCTTTTCTGCAAATGCTTTCCATCTAGCAGTCCAAATTGGACAGAGTATGCTTGGCTGGAGGACTTCTGCATCTTCCCAGTGGCAAGCTATTACAGCACTAGGAAAATTAGATTTTTTCCATGCCCAACCTGCTCACCAGTTTTGTAGATGTTTTGTTATTCATGTGGCAGGTTTCTTGGTTGCCTCTGTTCATCAGGACAATATGTGTCAGTGGAACAGATTCTCCACCCCTTATATTTGTGTCATGTCAAACAGTGATATGGTGAGCTGAAGGGGAAGACAAACTCTGATCAGACGGGCATTTGGCTCACTGTTTTGTCCAGTGTGGTGATCCTTTGGTTCACTCTTTTTTCCAGCAATCATACGATGTAATTACTGGAGTGAACCAAACTGTACTCAAAGTAGTCCTAACTGCACCTTTTGCTTCTACTTTTTACTGCAGATAGCTTTGGTCCATTTCCAGCATGTGTGATTTCTGGGAAAAGACTAAAAGTGACCCTTTTCAGCTGTCAAGGCTCCTTCCAGTTTGAATAATATTGTGAAGTGGCTTGATAGGTGAGCCACTTCAGAATATCAGCAAATTGGACATTACCTCTTCTCCTTGGCAGACGGGCAGGGAAAGTGATTAAAAAAAGACTCTAATGGATGACTGCTGATACACTACATCACTTTTTTAAAAAGAGAGAAAAAATAATATTTTCTTTGGTTTCTCCACTTTTTTAAAAAGAGAGAGAGAAAAAAATATTTTCTTTGGGTTCTCTTAATCCATGGATTCAGCTGCTGGCAGTTTCTTGACTGGCCATTCAGACAAACGAAATAATTTTTTTTAATGTTATATCACCTCAGCAATGAATGGCCATTCAGACAAACTAAAGATTTTTTTTAATGTTATATCACCTCAGCAATAATCTACTGTATACTGTATAGTGGTGGGGGAAATCAAGTGATTATTAGGTGGGAAAAATCAGTACAAATCTTCAGAAAACGTTTGACTTGGGCTATTTGCATATCAGTTCTTTAATTATTTACCTACTTTATTGGATACTTGTGGCTCAGTTTGATTTGGGAGTTTCCCAGAGTTTTGATGGGCAAAAATGGCACAGTTCTCTTCAGAGCACAAGGATGTTGTGGTTCATTGGAAGTTTGAAAATCAGCTGGGGATGGTGGCTTTTTTATGGTACAATCTAGAACGGTTCCACTGATTTTATTTTTCCAAGTCATTGACAAAAATATTTTTATTCTCTTTCAGACGGAAGGCCAAGCCAAAAGCTCCCCTTCCTCCACCTGAGACAAAGATCACTGACTCTTCTTCTTTTGATGATTCAGAACTAAAGAACTTCACTATGGAACAAAAAGAAAATATTATTGACAGAGAGATTGAACTGTCTGTGGTTCTTCCAGGGGATGTGATCAAATGTACTACTGTTAATGGCAGGTATGGTGAAGAAAGAATTTGACTTGTTATTGTATCAAATTTGCTTGCAATCTGAATTTTCCAAAGAAATATTTATTTTTATTTATTTATTTGAAAATTTATACCCTCCTTTTTTAATGCATGCATATTACTGAGCTCAGCAACAATTAAAATCACAAAACCATCATAAAATAAAGATAACTAAATTACATATACAGTAGTGCCCAGGGAGCCTTGTGGTATAATGGTTAAACTGCAGTACTACAGTGAACACTCTGCTCATAAGCTGAGTTCAGTTCCGAATTCAGGTAGCTGGTTCAAGGTTGAGTCAACCTTTCATTTTTCCAAAGTCAATAAATTGAGTATCCAGAGCGTGGGGTCAATGTGTAGCCAGCATAATTAAATTGTAAACTGCCCAGAGAGAGCTTAAAGCTCTGTGGGGAGGCATGTAAGTATCACACTTTGCTTTTTTGCTTTACCCAGAATCCTGTTGGCTAGATAACCTGGCATAAATGCAGTGGTATAAATCACAACAACAAATTGCTGCAAGGTAACGAATTGCCGCTTATATCCCACAACACACATCAACTCACATGACTGGGGTGCAGCAAGGCATACAAACAGTGACTTGCTAGCTAGCAGCAATTCACTGCTGATGTAACTGATTCTGACCAGTGGAGGCAAACAGAACAGATAAAAGCAACCTTTAGGTAAAAATATTATTTGCCCAGCAGGGCAGAATTTTGGTGGAACTGAAAAAAATAGCCACTGTTTGGGTGCAGCCACTGAAAAGGCCTTAATTCTTGTCACAGCCAGATGTGCATCTGTTGTGGACAAAAAGCAGAGAAAGCCTTCTCCAGATCTTAGGCAGGAGGCAGTCTGCTACAAGAGGATGCAATAGTTGGTAGGCTATTTTAGCCCACAGGGCACAGCTCATGGAAACTCCTAACAAAACTCTGGAAACTAAGCTTGTTTAGGAAGAGCGGCTTCCTATGTTCTCTCCTGCAAGACTGAAAGCGAATTTAGGGCAAAGATATAGCCAGTTAGGTGGATTGAATGGAAAGCTGAGAAGAGAGTATATAACGAGGACTCACCTCAATTTCACCTCAGTTTAGTCAAGGGGTATTTCTGAGTACTGACAGGCAGATGCGGGAATTTCTGAATTCTATTGTTTTGAGAGCTTGGGAGTTCCCTTGAACTCCGTGCACTGTGAACTAGATCAGGAGCGACATAGTTACATGGAAGCTCAGAATACAGTCTTCTGCATATTTTCATTTCATATCCTCAATTTGGACAAGAAGCCTACAGTATTGAAGGGCGATTGCAAGCACGCCAAGGCAAGCTTTTCATGAACAAAGTATAAATGGAACTACTAGAGGAGATATTCAGACTCAGTTCTTCCAGAAAAATTGCAGAGAGTTTCCTTTCAAGACCACCAGGTTGCTCTGCAAACTCTGCCAAGTTAGAAAAATCAGTACCCAAAGGGGTAATTTTCCAATTTTTAATATAATTTGGAGAGAGAAAAAGAATCCCCCTCAAAAGGAAGTAACATTAGTTTTGGATGTGAATTGCCCAAATTAAGAAATCACTAGACTACTGTGTTGTGTGATTTCTTATCTTAGGGCAAATTGTCACAAAAGGTGTGCCATTTGCGTAGCTCCGTAAGGAATTTGGCCAGTAAGTCTACTTGGGTTCTGACTAGCAGTTACTTTTAGGCCACTGGAATCATGTAACCCTTCTTCTTACCTCCTTTTCTTCTTTCTGTTATTATGGTGGCTGAGTTCTCCATTTCATTAATTATACTATGCTCATCTGTCTAGTCATGTGTGAAAACAAGGTTTATTGGTAAATATTTGTGAGGAAAAATTTCAGGAAGACCCATCTTGCTATTTACAGCTGGCTAGTTTGGAAGTACGGTAATCATATCTGTCTTCCAAATTTATCAGTAATGTAGTGAAAAGCTCTGCTATCTGCCATTCATCTTTCTGAGTATCAGTCATACCAGCTGACTTCAGAAAAGAATCATGGATATACATTTTTAAAGCGATCCTTGTCTTTTATGCTTCTTGGTGGGTTTGATCAAAATGTTTTGTTGGGTCTCACATTCAACAAGGCTCGTTTTATAGTTCAAAGAGATGTTGTGTAAGCTGTTCCAATTAGGAGGTGGAAAAATTATTTCATCATAAGCTCTGCCATTCATTATCAGGGCTGACCCAAGACCAACTTTAAAGCCACCAAGTAAACCTTCCGTGCTAAACAATACCGTACAGAAGCTTAAACTACATAGGAATGTTGTTTTTTACAGCCACTGAAATATTCTGTAGATTTTTATTCTGTGCAGGTGTTATGGTGATACCTCTGTGCAACAGCGTGTTGTAATAGCATTGCAGCTGTCTTTTGTCTGCATTGCATTTGCTCTTGAGAGCAGATAATCACTTCACTAGATTTCTGAACAGATTAAAATAAATTACTGAAATGTTAATAAAATATTTTTAAAAAGAAGAAGAGATTGCAAAATTATTATTTACTATTTTGTCTATGATCAGTCAGAACAAAAATGAAATAACTTTCAGGTGTCACAAACTAATGGTGGAACTATTTATTTCTGTGTAAACGAAGAATTAAATCAGCATATAAATTCAGTTAACATAGTCAGATTTGCAAAGCTAAAGAAAGATTGTTTCATGGGCAGTGCTTTAAAAGTTTGTATTTAATTTTCATGAATCAGGAAGGCAGTGTTTGTGATCAAAGGTGCAAATTATAGATATAGTGTGACTAATTGCCATGCCAAAGTGTTGTGCGCAAGTTTTGTAAATCTTATATTCGCGAAGGCTTTCACGGCCGGGATCTAATGGTTGTTCTGGGAGTGCAGAATCAAAGAACATGAGAGACACTGCAGACTAAAACAACCAGAAAAATTTGCAGTAGCTGAACATGCCCTGAAACAAACTGGACATGAAATTCTATTTCAAAATACTGAAATACTGGACAACACCAGCAATCATTACGTCAGACTGCACAGGGAAGCCATTGAAATCCACAAGCACAAGCACAGTTTCAACAAAAAAAGAGGAAAGTATGAAGCTCAACAAAACTTAGCTCCCAGCTATCAAACATACTATATGCTAAAGGTCAACGAACTCTACCCACCCACAAGGACAGGGGATCACTACACACACAAGACCAGCTAATGACACCCATCAGCCTCAGGAACTGATAATCTCTTCCCCTTAGCGCAACAATACACCCACAACAATACACACTAATCACCCATCTACAGGAAAAGACTAAAGCCTATCTCACAGCCATAAATACTGCACTCCCAAGCCAACTACACCAGAGTACAGGTTGCTGTCCTCTGAAGATGCCGGCCACAGAGACTGGCGAAACGTCAGGAAGAACAACCTTCAGAACACGGCCAAAGAGCCCGAAAAACCCAGAACAACCATTTGTATATCTTAATTGGCATTGAAAGGTTGGTTGGTGAAGAAGTGTTAAGGTGAGACCGGGAAATCATAACACACTAAATGCTAAAAGCTAAAATATTTTGGCCATGTAATGAAAATGAATAGTACAATATGTTGCATTGGTCATTCAGAGTAAAATAAGCATGGAAATACATAGTGCAGGAAGGAGAAGAACTTACTGACAGAATAACCTGGGAGAATGGTTTGGATGCAATACAGCATCTTTGTTTAGAGCTGCCACATCCAAAATCAAAATAGCCATGATGACGTCTGATCTCCAATAGGAGAGGAATGAGAGGAATAACAACAAGTTTTGTAAATAACATTGAATATTTTTGCTAGGGAGAAGGCATGTGCCTATACAGTACATCTATCTGTTAGAATGCATCTGAATTTACAGGCATGTTCATTGTTATTCAATTGGTGATTTTTTCCCCAAACATATCACTAGAATCACAAATGTGACTAGAACATGGCTTGCAAAGGGTTGCAAAATACTAATGAAACCGCCCAGAGAGCAGCAACATTAATGTGGTGGTATAGAAATGGAAAATTTGTCTGTCTGCCCTTCTGTCTGTCCATCTGTCCTTCTTCATAGTACTTACCCTATATGTCTTCAGAATACTTGCCCTCTGTGCATTTTCCTTTATGTGACACTTGTGTTATGATCTGTAAGCATAAACAACAATAAAATAAATGTGTTATCAAGCCAGTTTTGCTTAATGACCATGGCTTTTCTCCCCAGCAAACCAATGATGGACTTACTGGTTTACCTTTGTGCACAATACCGTTTAAATCCATCAAGTCATACAATAGATTTGATGTCCGTGGAACAAAAACAGATCAAATTTAAGCCAAATACACCAATTGGGATGCTTGAAGTTGACAAAGTGATTTTAAAGCCAAAACAGATAGATAAGAGGAAGCCCACTCCTGTCATACCAGAGGTGAGAGAAAGTTTGTGAAATGCTCCTCTTAATCCTTCTGTCTTTGTTTCTCATATATGTTATCTAGTTAAGCTTCTAATGAACCACATTCCAAAGACTTTGGTGATAGAATAACTGATTTATGTAATTTAGAATTCTGTCATAATATTCCATTTTGAGAGTTACTGAAAACTAGGATATCTTTGTCATTACTTCTGCCTTGGAGTGTGCATACGCTGTGATCACTCAGGTTTCGGAGGTGGGTTGTTTTGTAGTACATCTCAGTGGATTCCAAAATTGCTTGTGTGGATCCTTGTTGAGTGGGAAAGAAAGATAGCTATTTATCCCATAGGCTCTTACCTGCCATGATCTGCTTCAAGGAGTGCTACCAGCATGCCTTGCCTTAAAGAAGACAAGAGGTCTGTGTCTGCATGCTCACATTGCTCCCTACATGCACTTGAAGATCAAACTGGATTTGAAAACATACCTGGGGATTTTGTTTTTGTCTAATCGAAAGAAGCACAGTGGAACAAATCTCCAGTGAACCTCTATGGGTGTTACAGGGGACATAATATATTTTATTCCTGCAGTTGCCTTACAACATATCAAGCCTTCTGTGTCTGCAATCTTTATCACCAAAAAAGTGGTGCTTCCTCCATCACTTTTTCACAATAAAAACTGTAGGCCCAGAGAGCCAAAACAGGATTGTGGTGGGCAGCAAAGGATTAAAGCCCCAGTCCCATATGTTGATGCAGTCTGCATTGAATTTCCCTGTGCTTACTCAAGGGTAGGGAAGAAAAGAGGGAAGGGACGCAACTACTTGTTACATCTTTAAAGTATCATCTACTTTAGCTGTGAGTTGGCTGAAGAAGCAATAGGAGAGAGGGAGTTGATAGATAGCTGAAGGCAAGACAGCTCTGCTTCAGATCAGTCCATAGTTGCTAATCCTTCTGGTAGGTCTTGTATGGATGCAAGAAGCTTATGCTCATGCTCATATCCTTTACTGAGTTCTGAAGCTAAATGTGGTGGCTTTAGTCAGTTCTTCATTTCATGCTTAGTACCACTATAATAGCATGGGACGTGAATCAGAATTTTGTAGTATTTTTAAATAAAACATTGTAGATATTATTAGGGATGCAGTGTGCATTGCCATAGTGGTCATTGTGGTGGTTGAATTTTTCAATCAACTTTTGAATTATTTTTCTTTTCTTTCAGCAAACTGTGAGAGTGGTAGTAAACTACAAGAAGACACAGAAGACAATTGTCAGGGTTAGCCCTCACGTACCCCTTCAGGAACTCATGCAAATTATATGTAACAAATGTGACTTTGATCTCTTACACACTGTATTGCTGAAGACTTACCAATCTCAGGAGACACTTGACTTGACAAAATCCCTTAATGACCTTGGACTCAGAGAACTGTATGCAATGGATGTCAGCAAAGGTAAGATCTGTGTGCTTGCCTTTCACCAAACCTGCTCGTTCCGGGAGTGCTGTGCTGTAAATTTAGGTGTGCAGTATTAATTTCAATCTTAGTTAACAGTTCTTTTCCTTTGTTCCTATTATTGTTACTGAACATGAAACACCAGAATAAACTACTGATTTTTGAAAAAATGTTATAAGAGCACAAACAGTCCAGAAACGTATTGTCAGTTTACCTGTGCATGAGGGCAGCCCATGAAGTCTTAATGGCACATTGTCACCTGTTAACAAAGTCCTGGCTGTGTCACCAAATGTATGCTCAGTCATATGATCCGGTGCTCACCCAGAAGTACCAAGAGCACCAGGATTGAGCAATTTTCCTTACACAGCTGTAAATCACCAATAGGATAAGTCTTAATGGCAAATTGTCACCCGTTAACAAAGTGCTGGCTGTGTCACCAGATGTATGCTCAGTCATATGATTTGGTGCCCACCCAGAAGTACCAACAGCACCAGGAGCAATGTTCCTTACACAGCTGTAAATCACCAATAGGGTTCTGGCCATTGTATGTAAAGCTATATTCTTTTTAATGCTTCTTGGCTATCTTCAGAAGTTCCAAATAACTGTCTAGTCTTTGGTTGTTGTAGCTGTTTCAGGCTGTTTGGCTGTGTTCTGAGGGTTTTTCTTCCTAACGTTTCACCAGTCTCTGTGGACGACATCTTCAGAGGACAGAACTCAGAACTCTGTCTGTGCTCTGGTGCAGTTTGTGGGATAGTTGCTGTCCCACAAATTGCACCAGAGCACAGACTGAGTTCTGACTCCTGTCCTCTGAAGATGCCGGCCACAGAGACTGGTGAAACGTTAGGAAGAAAAACCCTCAGAACACAGCCAAACAGCCTGAAACAGCTACAACAACCATGAGACCTGGCCGTGAAAGCCTTCGAGAATGTATTGTCTAGTCTTTGCTTCTGGGTTTCTTGTGTCTGGCATTTGTAATCAGGTGAACCGATCTGTGGTCCACTGTTCTAACTTCTTTGTCTGACTTTGAGAACTTGTAGGCCTCCAGATCTTGGTGTTCCATCAGCCAGTAATCAGAAATGACTGGCGTTGTACTCTAATATAACAGAAAGGCCACAGATTACCCACCCTGGACTTAAAACAAGATGTTAAATCTAGCAGCCATGTATTTTAGCATACAGAGTTGCTATTCAGAAATTGCTCCTGTTTAGTGAGAAATGAATGGCCAATAAAAAATATTCAGTCTTTTAAAACCATCTTTTTGTGGCTGCAGTCTGAAAAAAAATCTCAATATGCCAGACAACAGTCTTGGGAATGGGTACTGGTGGAATCTTGCAAAAGTGTGCTTTTCTTTAAAATTTAGAGTATTTAAAAGTTATAAAATTTTTACTGTTCCGTTTCTGATTCATTGCATGACATCTTGTTCTTTTATATCACTGTTTTCAGATGAATAAGCCTGGTGAATTACATTTGTACTTAATACTAACATTTAGTAAACTTTCCAGGCCTGATGCTTCTAGTGGTCGATCCAGCCCCTAGTGTACAAGTTAAGCATCCTTGCTTAAAGTACAAGGCGCTCTTTCTTTCTTGATGAAATGTGATAGAAGTTATCAGTTCACATTCTTCTGCTTTTTGAGACTTGCCCAGGTAGTCTTCAGCTCCTCTGCTGAAATTCAGATAAAGAGCCTATTCAGGAAAACACCATCTATTATCATGAAATTTCCATTTCTTTCTGTAGCCACTCCAACTACTGAATTCAACTTTTCATCTTTACAAGGTGAGTTGTTCTGATTTCATAGAGAAGATGAAAATACTGGATGGTGGCATATTGGCACAGCCATTTTCATTTAATAATTCAGAGCAAGAAGTGTCTTAGAATATAAATGGTGTCTTGTCTACATTGCCTTGTGCCTTGTTGCTTTGAATCTGTTTTTGGTGTTGATATTGTTTACTATTTTTAGTGTTTTTTTATTCTTTTTAATATTTGTATACTGACTGTTTTTAGCTTTTAAATGCTTTTTTTTAAATGATGTAAGTTGCCTTGAGTCCTCTTTAAGGAGAAAGGCAAGGTAAAAATATTGAAATAAATAAATAAAGTACATTACTACTGGAAAGGAGGATATAACACAGATTGGCTAATGATGACATCATTCCTGCACAGGTGGAGGTACACAACAGGATACTAGTTCATTAAGTGTAGAAAACATACCAGACTAAATGTACAGTGTTGCACATAGCATGCTGAGTGAAAACTGCTTCAATTGTTAAAATGCTTTGGCAGAAATATTAAAGGGAAGAACATGATCTAATTATCAGGATAGTCCATATAATACCATACTGTCTTTTTCAAATACAATACCTAGACATAAAGAAGAAAATAATTTGCACAACCCAGAAATTGTGGCATCAAGACATTTTATTTTATTTCTAGACTCTTGTCAAAATTCACAAAACTCAGAAATTTTGAAGGAGAAGGAAAGTAAAGGGTTTTTCAGCTTTTTTCAACGAAGTAAGAAGAAACGAGAACAAGTAAGAAACATAAGTTTGTTAGCAGTTGATTAATTAGTAGTTAGACTGGCCAGAAATATGTTTAGTGTCAGTTTCATCACCCCCATAATTTGATCTGTTTTCTGCTCTGTTAAATATCTGTGTGCCTCTGTTTATGGTAGTCAACTGATTGGACACACTGGGTTGCCAGTGGCTGAAATCCAGTAGTAAAAGACCCATTGAATCAGTGGGGATTTGGTGAGTCAACACGGATGCAAGTTCCATTGATTCAATGGGCCTGTATTCGTTGTGACTTACTACGGGATTTTAGCAGTCTGTCATGGCTGTTTTGCTTGCAGGTGGTATTTGCTTAGATCAGGGTGACCAAAATACATGCAGGCTTCATGCCCACCACTGTGGTAGCAAAAAGAAACAAGTGTCCCTCAAAGCAAAATATATTGGGAGTGGGCATCTTGCTCTTAGCTGAACTGTAGAAGCACAATTCAGCGGAAAACAAGATAAGTGGGCCCTATGCTCTTGACTTAAGGGGGAAGTTGCTATTTTCTTACTCTTGTTGCTCCAAGAAATTTGACACTACTAACTTACTTTCCAAGGAAAACAGCTACCTTTGGCCACAATTCAGTGTCATGGCAACAGAGTGCAAGTCCCCATTGAGTTCGGTGTGTGTGTTTTCAGTATACCTTCACACACACACACCCCAGTTGCTGACATCTCCCTTAGGTGATTATTAGCACAGTCTTGTGCATGTCTACTCAGAAAAGAATGTCATTAAATTCAGTGGAATTTGCTCCTTGTTCCGAAGGCCTTATTCTCACTTGCCTCTCCTAAACCCGCTCAGTATCTATGGCTTTTTCCAGTCCTAGAGGTCTGTTCTTGTCTTACAAAGACTAACTGAGGCCTTGTGTACATAGTTCAGTATGTAGCAGCTTGGGGACTTGCCCATTGGAGCAGGCCATGCAATGTTATTTTTACTGTTTCAGTAAAAATAAAAATCTATATTCTCATAGCCAAGTGATGATCAAATTGGAATAAACCAATATTAGGCCCCACCCAAGTAGTTCCTGTGTTAAATTCATTGTAATGACCCAGGGCAGGGATGAGCAGCCTTTTAGGGATCTGGGATCATTTTCGCTTCCCCCCCAGAAATGTGTAGGCTTTCCTAGCTACAATTCCGTAAACCCTTTAAAAATAGCCCCCCAAATGGGAAATTGTGCCCTCAAGAAGCCTCAGAGATTATGTGTGATTTTGTGTTTCACTGCTCTCACTTAGGCTCTAGCCTGTTTCATGTCAGAAAGAGCATGTTGTAGTAGAACATTAAAAATGTGTTTTTTAGGCTAAAACAGGCCAGGTTATTTAGTGAATTGTTTCCATGATTGTGCTGATCAGAAGGGATCCTGGCAGCCACAATTGGCCCAAAACCTGCATTTTGCTTAGTCTTGACCTAAGGTTTTCCCCCAGGTACAAGATTGCTATGTATTAGCAATCAGCACTAATGTCTTTGTAATGACAATTGAGGACTCCCAGTTTAAAGGAATAGGTTGGCTGGTATGAATCATTATTTATTTTTCTCTCTTTCTGCCTAAGACTGCTAGTGCTCCTGCAACTCCATTGATGAGTAAGCCAAGACCAGCCTTTGGAATGAAATCCAATACGATTTCGAAACAATATGACTCAAATACACTGCCATCTGATATGCCAAAGAAGCGACGAGCCCCCTTGCCCCCTATGCCTGCTTCTCAAAGTGTGCCCCAGGATCTTGCACAAGCCCAAGACAGACCTGCAGCTTCTGTGATGAAATCTAGTAGTGTGGATGAAACTGATAAGGTTGGTTGTTGTCCCCCCCTCACCCCCCGTGTATCAAAAACAATGTGTGCTGCTTATATAGCACCCCATAGTACTTAAAACTCTCTCTGGGCAGTTTACAGTTTAACTGTGCAGGCTACACACTGCCCCCTGTGAGCTGGGTACTCAGTTTACAGGCCTCAGAAGGATGGAAGTCTGAGAGAACCTTGAGCTAGCTACCAAAACCCGTTGGGATTGAACTCAGGTCATGAGCAGAGTCTTGACTGCAGCTACTGCAATCTAATTCCTGTGCCATGAGGCTCCTTCTGAGATTAACCTTGCTCTGAGATTAGTACTGTGTTTCCCCGAAAATAAGACAGGGTCTTATATTAAATTGTGCTCCAAAAAACGCATTAGTGCCTATTTTCAGGGGATTTTTTATTTTATTTTTCATGTACAACAATCTAAATTTATTCAAATACAGTCATGTCATCTTTTTCTGGTTGCTGCACAATGCTGCACAATGGTGGAGGGTGGGTTTTCACTTAACTGGGGCTTATTTTTGGGGTAGGGCTTACATTACGAGCATCCTGAAAAATCATAGTAGGGCTTATTTTCAGGTTAGGTTTTATTTTCGGCGAAATGGTATTATAGTACATTTAGCTGTGGGACAGTTCAGCAAGAACATCCATGGATTGTGTGGTCTGAATAAACTGCAGTAGTTCACAATTTTCGAATTAATGTATGTGCTGTCTCTGCCATCTTGATGACCTCAGAACAAGTTCCCTTTGGTCATATCACATGTTTTACATAAAAGCATGCCTTGCTTGGGTTATCTAGATCGTACAGGATCACCTGATGAGCACTTAGTGACATAAGAGATCAAGGGGAAGGAGTTGCTGTTTACTATAACCTTAAATTAGGAAGTCCCAATCTTCCTATTTTCTGAACTTTATACTGTCTCTTCTTATTACTCCCTAGCTCTTATCAACATTACAAAAATTATTAGTCATATTTTGCCAATTCCTCTTCTGCTATCTTTATTGGTAACAACGTAAATAAAATCTTCATTTTACGAATCACTCTCTGCGAAACCATGGGAATCCAAATGTTCTAAAATCATCTAGATTATTTTTTATTTCTTGTTTTAATTTTTAAAAGTTTTCCTCTTTCAGTTTTTTCTAAATCCACTGGAATATTTATACTGAAGTACTTGATAGATTCTTGAATCCTAGTGTCATTTTTCCTTAAGTAACTCTTTTTAAAAAATCTTTATTATAATTAAACATCATCACCTCTGATTTATACCAAATTATCTGTAACGTCATTATTTTTCAGTTTTTTAAAATGTGCTTTTGTTATATTGTCAGGCCGCACTTGGAGGTGCTCTATATGTTTCCCTTACAGGCCAACTTAAAAGCAGACCTATTGGGGAAACACAGAAGCCTATATAAGACTATAGCTGACAAAAGTATTCTGGGATAGCTGACATTATCCCAGTAAAGGGTTAATTCCAGAATGAAATCAGACAATCATTGACAAACATTTCAAAATTCATTTGAGTTTCTTACCTCCAAATGTTTTCTTTGTTGCAATAATTCGAGGCAGCTTCCAAAGCTTGGATTTTTGCACATTTTATTTCTACTTAGTTCTGGGTTCCATAAGCATAACATGAAATCCAAAACTATTAAAAACATTTAACTTTTGAGAAGTCACAGGCATATACAGTGGTGCCTCACTAGACGATGATAATCCATTCCACTGAAATTGCTGTTTAGCGAAATCATTGTCTAGCGAAAAGCATTTCCCCATTGGAAAACACCCGTTTTGCGAGCACGGAGGGAGCTGTCAAAATCGTTCTGGTTGCAAGTCAAACCAAAACTTTGCAACCAGAGCTGGTTGTAACTCGAAATGGTTGTAAGTCAGGACCTTCGTAAGTCAAGGCACCACTTTATCAGGAAAAACTTCCTAACTGTTAGAGCAGTATGACAGTGGAATCAGTTATCTCGAGAGGTGGTGACTGCTGCAACACTGGAGGCATTCAAGAGAAACTTAGACAACCACCTGGCAGATAGCCATTGATTTCCATTCCTGCATCGAGCAGGGAGGTGGACTTGATGGCCTTATAGATCCCTTCCAACTTCACTATTCTATGATTCAGTGATTCTATATTTGTGGAGAATTTATTGATTCTGTATTAATGAAGGGGAAGGGATGTGTACCTCCGCAAGAATTAATACAGTTTTGGAAGGGGAATGGGGCTCCATAAAGGGAGGAAAATTTGGTTAGGCTTGCCCTTGGAAATCAATTACAGTGGTGCCTCGCACAACGATTGCTTCATACAACGATGAATTCACACAGCGATGGGTTTTTTTGAGGAATTTCCCCCATCGTTTAACGATGTTCTCTATGGGGGAATTTCACTTAACGATGTCCCTTTTTGCTCATTTAAAAGTGTCTTAAAATGTTTGAAACCTGTTTTAAATGCTTGGATTCCATAGTGCACCTTGTGAAACATGTGCAAACTTAATTTGGTTTTGTTCTGAGTCTTCATTAATTTTTGATGATTTTTTTATTTTCCCCATTTAAATCAATTGAATGGACAGTTCAATGCATTTAAATAGGGAAAACAAAAAATCACCAAAAATTAAGGACGACTCAGAACAACACCAAATTAAGTTTGCATAGGGTTCAGGAGGTGGGCTAACAATTGCAAGCATTTAAAACCTGTTCCAAACATTGTAAGACACTTAAAACTTAATTTGATGTTGTTCTGAGTCGTCCTTAATTTTTGGTGATTTTTTGAATTTTCTCTCATTGGAATGCATTGGACGGAAAGTTCAATACATTCCAATGAGAGAAAATTCAAAAAATCACTAAAAATTAAAGACGACTCAGAACAACATCAAATTAAGTTTGCATAGGGTTCAGGAGGTGGGCTAACGATTGCAAGCATTTAAAACCTGTTCCAAACACTGTAAGGCACTTTTACAGGAGCGAAAAAGGACTTCACAAAGCCATTGAAATGTATTGAGTCGGCTTCAATACATTCCAATGGAGGAAACATTGTTTCACTCAACGATGTTTCCTATGGGTTTTTTCACTTAAAGACGGCAATCTGTTCCAATTGGAACGGATTAACCGGTTTTCAATTCATTCCTATGGGAAATGGTGTTTCACAGAACGATGTTTCACACAACGTTGATTTTTTTGGAACCAATTAACATCGTTGTGTGAGGCACCACTGTATATTGAGATAGCTGTGAAATACACACACACACACACACACACACACCGCCAAATAACTATGCTTCAGGAAGAGTATGTTATCCATAGGTTGTCCCCTAGAATGTCATTTAATGACTAGTCATTTATTATCAAAGAAATTTTTTAAAATATGAAAGTAAGAATGAAAACATTTTCTAGGCAAATATGGGATTTGTAAAATAATAAGTTCTGGAAATTTTTAGACTGTTAGGATGTTTTGGGTAATGTGTGGCAACAGTGCCCTAAAGTTCAGTTTTATAGGCTACTCATAAAATATGTTAGTCTCAAATTAGAATTAAAAGCCACACTTCTCTTCTTGTATTCTTTATGCTTGAATTAAATATGTGGAAATGATGGCTTGCATTAACAGGCTCAGAAACTGGAGAAAGATTTGACATTTTGTGTCACTTCCAAATTGCCTTTCTAAGTCCTTCATAAGAAAATGTAGTTAAATATATTTCTTAGAAGAGTTGGCCTAAACAATTCAGAGCTTTGCTTTATTAGGAATAGGATGAAGTCTTATGAGAAAACCATATCTTACTGGAAGAACGTGGATGTGTAAAACTAGTGTTTTTATCTTAATAAAATAGACTGCTTCTATAATAATGCATTTTAATGAAGTTATGAAGCAGGTTGCCAGGTCAAATCTATCTATATAAATCCCAATATGTGCTGAACTTACTCCAGTGCAGGTTTCTGGAAAATTAATGCAGTGGGTAATATCTTGGTAAAGCACAGATTGTCAGTTGTGAATTCCAATTAAAGTTCAAAGCTAACTGTGTCAGTGTAAATTGGAGCACTGCGTATTTGTCTTTCAGACATCACTTTGAATGTGGAATGAAAGGCATGTTTTTTCTTATATGCTAGGCTATATGAGCATGCTAGAAAGATGAAGTGCAGAATGTGGAGGGAAAATCAGGCCCAAGAGATGAATTTGATGTAAGGCCTCTCAATAGATGCCATTCCCCCCTCCCCATGTCAAGCAGTAATTTCTTTTTCATTACATCTTAACCACCAGAGTGCACTGTTTAATAGAAGTTTTGAGTTCTGTGTCTATGTGATGAGAGGATCCTCCCATTTCAAGATAATTACCCAAGTGCCCCCCTCCCCATAAAATAAATGAAACAGCTTCTTTTCCTCTTTTTACCTCTGTAATCGTCTGAAGGTTTCCAGATTTTGGTCACAGTCAAAAATCTCAAATTATAAATATTTGAGCCCCAGTGGAAATAGCAAACATATTCTGGGGAAACTCAATGGAATAAGTAGGCCTCAGCGTAGCTGACTTTCTGGGCTGGATGATGGGAGACTGATGTTGTCTAGAAGGGAATGCCGTAGACAGAAAGTTCCCATGGAGAACTGGAACACACAGAAAGCAAGGGCCTCAACACTTTACCAGTTTATCTTCTGTCACATCCCATCTTTTTGCAGAGAATCTTCCAACCCTCAGGAATTGTGTAGGGCTACAGCAGGAAGGGAGAGGTATAGACAGTACATTTCCACTTGGGGAAACTCGAATCCAAGGAAATGGCTAAAATCCTTTTGCTTAGTGTCGTGAACAACACTAGAGTAGCCCCATTGAATCAGTGGGGATATAGTGAATCAACTCCTGCAGAAGTTCCACTGATTCAAATGGGCCTACTTTATTTGTAACTGTAATAAATAAAGCTGCAGTTAGAGTAGGCCCATTTGAATCAGTGGAACTTCTGCAGGAGTTGACTCAGCCAAATACCCATTGATTCAATGAGCATACTCTAGAGTGATTTACTTTACTAAGCAACAAGATGTTGACCACTTTAATTCTCAAAAGATTCTATTTACTGCATCTATCTTACTATAGTGGTGCCTCACAAGACAATTTTAATTCATTCCGCAGACCGCAGAAATCGCTGTCTTGCGAAAATATTGTCTTGCTAAACACGGTTCCCCATAGGAATGCATTGAAATCTGTTTAATGCATTCCAATGGGGGGAAAATCACTATCTTGCAAAAATCATCCATAGAAAACATCATCTTGCAAAACACAGTTCCACATAGGAATGCATTGAAATCTACCATATTGGGGAAAAGCAATCCCCTCACCTGCACTGCCTTTGGAAATGCAGTGGGTCTCAGACAGCCATCCCCCTCTTTCTCTCTCCAGCAGCAAAGAAAGAAGGTGAAAGGAGTCAAAACAGCCCCTGGCTCCTGATCATGGTGATTCCTTTTTGCCCTGATCCTTTGCCACTGGGGAGAAGAAGAGAAATAATGCAATACCATTGCTGCCTTTGCAATAGGTCCTGATGAGGGAAAAAGAGATGAAAAGGATTCTAGAAAGACCATGGAAAGCACAAATGCAATCCCCCATTGCCACAACTTATGCAGTTGAGTTCCCCACATTTGAGGAAATCACAGGGATCAACACACCTGAAGTGCAATGGATGAGCCTCACCCTGGGAAACCCTCTTTCATGACCATGGTATTTCCCCTGCAAAGTATGAGTTGGAGTGGCCCTTGCACCTCCTACCCCGTTCTGTGCCCTGCCCCCCCAAGTCATGGTGACCCCCTGGCTACACCTCCCACTCAAAACAGGGCTGCATATATGCTAATATATATGCTAATACCTTATGCTAATACCTGTGCACTAGAGGATTGTGGGAGGAACACCTAGCCCTTGATAGGGGTCCCGCGAGGCACCCCAAAACACTGAGTAGTTGTCTTGGCCTCTGGCGGGACAGGGGCCGTGCAGCCCTGTTCTGAGCAGATATACAGGCATGTACTCCCACACTCTGTTTTTTAATTGTAGAGGATACTTCTATCCTTGCTGCTTAGAATTAAGTTGTTCTGAAAAGTTGACATTGTGCTCTGTCTTTGCAGTATCCTGTAATAATCTGATGTTAGTATGATTGCTTAGAACAAGATAAATGAGAATATTTTTCTGCATTGCCTTTCCAATAGATTGAACTGAAACATCTTTAATCCCAACTGAACAGTTTACCTAGTTCTGATAAAGTGAGGCATTTATTCATGCCAGCATAGTAATACCAGACAATAGTAAGAAACGTTATCCGAAAGAAAACACACACTGTACTGTTTATTCTAGTCTGGTTTCTCACTGTTTTAAATGGAAAATACAAGACTCCAGTTACCCTTCTCCTCGTTTTCCCATTTAATTGACAGCAGTAGAAGGAAATAAAGGGTTCAGTTGCTCTGTAACATTGGGAATGGCTGGGATTTTGACTGTTCTAAATTTCAGAGCTTCATGCAGGACTTGTTATTTTTTCAGTAGGAATAGTTTAGTTTTGATAGGTAGAAAATGAGGAGATAATAATTTCCTTGGATGCACCACTTCAGAAGATCTGGGAGTCAATTCCCCCCCTCCAAGACCTACGGGAGCCCCTGGCAGCTCCCCAAATGACCAAAAAGAATAGAAAATGTCCTTTCTGCCTGGGACTCCAAGGCCCCAGTTTACTGTCTCTTCTCCAGAGCTCATCTTGAGCAGAAATAGAGCAATTCCACCGAAAGGCAGGATTGTGCTTTTTCTATCCCTGTTGTTATGTGGATGGAGCTCAATAGCTTCTCTGAGCAATAGATTCAGGTAGCGATAAAAACACAAAACAGTCAAGGTGTCATTTCACAGCTTTGAATACACAGTATGAACACTGCTAAACTAGATGACTGTAAAACATGGGGTTTCTTCTAATCCTTCCCTGAATTATTTCATCTGTTTTCTTTCACCTTTCTACCATACTACTCAATTAACTGCCCCCTCACTCTCTCTCCCACTCCTCAACTACCACCACGACTTCCCTCCTTCCCTTCCCTTCCAACCACCAACACTAAACTTCCCTTTAACAGGCATTCCACCCTTTAAGCCCCTCCCCCAGCATTTTCTAGACTGTGATTGGCTGTTGTCAAGAAAGGATGGACACCAGTGGTATCCATCATTTGGAGCAGTTATGCTTTTCCATGGTTTTGATGTTTCTCTTCCTCTTTTCCCCAGGGACTTTCAGGAATAGGAATAGTGAGAACGGGTTCTCTTCAGCTCAGCGGGACATCTTCAGTTAATTCCTCTCTGAGGCGGGCAAAGCGCAAAGCACCATCACCACCTCCCAGAAAATTACAAAGCCAAAGTGACAACAGTATTGAGACAGGTAAGGTGTTGTTTTTTGTGTGTGTGTTGCTTTGCTAGGTTAAATTGATTAGGTATCCTTCAGTCTCGAGAGACTATGGTAACGTGCTCTGTATGGATAGGGTTGCCAGATGTCCAGCAAAAGGAGGACATGTCCTTCTTTTTAGCCTAGTGTCTTCCGTTCAGCAGGCAAAGCTAAAAACCTTTAAAATATCCAGCTTTTGGAATATTTTACGTTATAATTTTGGATAGGTGGGGCAGAGGTGGAAGGTGGAAAGCAGTCTGATGGAATCACAATCTAAGACACCACTTTGGGCTGTGAATCAGCCATGCCCACATCGAGCCTTTGCTTCTGGAGGTGACTTCCTGCTTCGTTTTAAGCAAGCTGCGTGTAAAGATTAGCAAGGAAAGGAGAGCAAGATATATGCATACATATATGTACATACACACCACGAGTGAGAGGGAACAGGTGAAATAAAAGGAGAGAGTTGAGAGAGAGTGGTGGCCGGAGAAGGGCAGGATCTTTTTTTAAGGGGTGGGAAAGATTGTGGGTTTGCTGGGAGGTTCGAGTGAGCAGCAGGAGTTGAGAAAGGAGAGATGGTGGCAGCGGCTATAAAAGATTGAGGAAGGCTGGTGGAGAAGAAGTGAAGCTGCAGGGAAGGGGAGCCAGAGCGGGGCTCCGCGCCAGGTGCCTGCCAGAGGGAGAGGGAGAAGAGGTGGTGGCAGCCGCCACTGCCACCACCACAAAAGGAGGCAGGAAACAAAGGGGAACCTTCTAGCAGAGCTCGCCTTAGCGCAAGTAAAGGAGAAACAAAAGCAGGCACCGGGATAGGTCGTCTAATTAATAAAGATTAGAAGGTAACAATTGTATAATTGGCTTTTTAAATAATCTCTTTTGGTATTTTGAAAAAAAGCCTCCATTGAATTTATTTTTATTTTTTAACATGACTGTTTCTTGGTCGGTTCACTAAGAGACATTTATTGGCAGCTATTGTAATAAAATTTATTGATTGCGGGTTTAATCCAGAACGATTCAAATGAAACATTCAATACATCCTCCTCTGTCCTCTTTTTTGTCTTTCTATGTCTTCCTTTTGATACCCATGTATCTGGCAACCCTATGTATGGAGGTCTTGGAACAGCGTCTAGTGTGGCTGAGCAGGCCAATTTGAAAGTGACAATTCCTTCTGCATTGAAGACAAATACAGTCTGTCCCCTGTCCAGCTCCCTGGTTTTGCTGGTTTTGGGACTGCCTCTTTGCCTCGGCCTGCTGAATACGTGCCTCTTCAAATTGGAAAAGGCCATGATGCACCACCTGCCTCCAGGCTAAACGCTCAGATGTCAAGGTTTCCCATCTGATGAGGTCCATTCCTAATAGGTTAAATCAAATCATTATTATACACCAATATTCTGAGGAAACCCAATTCTATCTCTCCTTTTCTTCTAACCGCAAGGAAGCTGGTTCATTTCTAGGCCAGTATCTGGTGTATTTAATGGAATGCATGAGAGGAACTGAAGCTTTATCTGGACAGGATAGAAGTGCTCCTGGTCAAACAGCAGATCAGAGAATATGGATTCAGTCAGTACAGCCCCTTGAAAACTGCAGTTTGTAGCATGGGTGTATGCCAGGATTCAGTCCTGACCTAGGAGGCCCAGGTTTCATTGCTGGCCAAAAGTGTGTTGGCACAGTTAAAGCCCCTGCACCAGCTGTGCTTGATCCTAGAGGTGTCTCATTGAGTTATGGTGCAACGTGCCTAAATTACATTGTCATTATGCCAGTGCTGTGACTTAATGGATTACTGTGTTGCTTCTGTTATGATAATGTAGCCTGTTTAAGGCTGCATTTGAAGAGCGTTTGCAAGCTTATGTTGCTCCAAAATGCTGCAGTCAGATTACTGACTGGGACAAGTGAAGGAAAAAATACAGCCAATTAAGCTCTATATGATTTGGGTCCAGGTGATCTGAAGGACTCTGTATCCCCAACAAGAGCTTTCCTAGCTTCTAAAGATATTTGGGGAGATCTTTCTCTCTGTCCAGCCACCCCCACAGGCTTCTTTGGTGAGGATGCGAGAGAGGACCTTTCCAGTAGCTGCTGATGACAGGTGGACCTTTCTTTTAAAGCAAGCGTTTAACAACCGAATCAGACAGCTGAAGAAGGGGGTTTATTCCCAGATGTTGCACATTGTGCTGCTTTCGTGTGTGTGTTTTTAGAGCATTCTTGAAATTCAGAACAGTAGGATCCCTGTAGCTGTAGGGGATCCTACAGCTCCAAGCCCTGTGGGGAAATTGTATGCTTTTACAATGTATATATCTGTGGCTATAGCAGACATTGTGCTAAGCGCGAAAATCACGTATACAGTGTGGTTGCTTCCAGTAAGGATGATTCATTAACCTGCTTTGATATCTAGGATAATTATCTGTCTTTGGGTAAATTGTATTAACTTACTTGTGTATTTAAAGTGTTATCTGTCTCTGTTTACCCTGCTCTGTATTCAGGAATGTTTACCCTGCTTGTGTATTTAGGATTTACGTGCCTCTGTTTACCGGCCCCTCTGTTTACCATACTTGTGTATTCAGGATATTACCTGCCTGTGTTTAGAATGGTCACTGGTTAAGGTAGTAGAGAACAATAAAAGGGGGGCGCGGCGACGGATAGAGGGGATTTCCCACTGAACAGCATGCTACACAGCATGCTGTTTTGTTTATCCAGATCCCGCCCTGAAACACACACTCGAGTGCTCGCCTCTTCCTTTCTCCTTGCTGGTCAAGAGGGGGGAAAGGCTTCATCTGCAGATCCCTACAACTAGACTTCATCTGCAGATCCCTACAACAAGGTTTCATCTGAAGATCCCGACAACTAAGTTTCATCTGTAGATCCAAACAACAAGGCTTCATCTGCAGATCCCGACAACCCCCCCCCCCGGAAGGTGAAAAATGCAGATTATAGTGGACTGGTTCCTTTTAGTGGCCAGTTCTTGTAATGATATTGTGGAATTATATTTCTTTAGCGAATGCTACAAACAACAGGGCCAATGGAGGTGATGGTATTCCACCTGAACTATTTAAAATCTTAAAAGATGATGCTGTTAAGGTGCTACACTCAATACGCCAGCAAGTTTGGAAAACTCAGCAGTGGCCAGAGGATTGGAAAAGATCAGTCAACATCCCAATCCCAAAGAAGGGCAGTGCCAAAGAATGCTCCAACTACCGTACAATTGCACTCATTTCACATGCTAGCAAAGTTATGCTTCAAAATCCTCCAGGGCAGGCTTCAGCAGTATGTGGACCGAGAACTCCCAGAAGTACAAGCTGGAGTTTGAAGGGGCAGAGGAACTAGAAACCAAATTGCTAACATGTGCTGGATTATGGAGAAAGCCAGAGAGTTCAAGAAAAACATCTGCTTCTGCTTCATTGACTATGCAAAAGCCTTTGACTGTGTCGACCACAGCAAACTATGGCAAGTTCTTAAAGAAATGGGAGTGCCTGACCACCTTATCTGTCTCCTGAGAAATCTATACATGGGACAGGAAGCAACAGTTAGAACTGGATATGGAACAACTGATTGTTTCAAAATGGGGAAAGGAGTATGACAATGCTGCATATTGTCTCCCTGCTCATTTAACTTATATGCAGAATACATCATGTGAAAGAATTGATGCCTTTGTATTGTGGTGCTGGAGGAGGCTCTTGAGAGTCCCCTGGACTGCAAGGAGAACAAACCTATCAGTTCTAAAGGAAATCAAACCTGAGTGCTCACTGGAAGGACAGATCCTGAAGCTGAGGCGCCAATATTTGGCCATTTCATGAGAAGAGAAGACTCCTTGGAAAATACCTTGATGTTGGAAAAGTGTGAAGGCAAGAGGAGAAGGGGACGACAGAGGATGAGATGGTTGAACAGTGTCATCGAAGCAACCAACATGAATTTGACATAACTCCGGGAGGCAGTGGAGGATAGGAGGGCCGACACGCCTAAACCAGTGGTTCTTAACCTTTGTTACTCGGATGTTTTTGAACTGCAACTCCCAGAAACCCCAGCCAGCACAGTTGGTGGTGAAGGCTTCTGGGAGTTGCAGTCCAAAACTCCTGAGTAACCCAAGGTTAAGAATCAGTGAACTAAACAACAACAATTTTATATTATGTTTATGTTATAGTTAAAATAAATTTTTTAAAAAAGAGATAAAGGGCTTCTACTTATTTGCAAATAGATGCAATGTATAACTCATTAGCCAAAATCCTGTTGCTTATTATAGCAAATACACTACAGTAGTCCCATTGCATCAATGAGTATTTGGTGACTCACCTCCTCTGTAAGTTCAGTTGATTCAAATGGGCATACTCTATTTGCAAGTAAGTAACATAGTATGTTACAATTAAAGTAGGCCCATTTGAACCAATGTAGCCTATGGAGGAGCTGATTCACTAAATCTCCACTGATTCAGTAGGCATACTATAGTGCAATTTACTATGCTGAGCAACTAACTACATTTTGGCAATTATGCTATTAGTTATAGTTGTTTTTAAATGGTTTGTGTCACTAGGAGAAAGGAAGCACAGAAATGACATAAATGAATATTTCCACAGCTACTATAGGGATATATGTTTCTCAGTCCTCAACTAGTGAATATAGAAACCCGAGAAGAAATAGAGAAAACTGGTAATTTTGTGGCTGTTTGTTTTCACAAAATGTATTTTGAAATTATTGATATATTTGGCTTTTGTAAGACTATTAGCTCAAGTTTGTGAGTGTTATTTGACTTTGAATAATCATTTACTAAATTGTACCTGCTTTCCAGAATCTGAATCAGCAGAATCAATTCATATAGAAGAACGTGTCAAGGGAAGATATTCAGAAGTATTTTCTCCAACAGGTGCGTTTTGTGGAAAATGGCACAATTTTTCTGAGGAAAATCTAGGGCAGTCGCATCTGCCAGCAATGTCATAATAAACACAAATGTTTGTATTTTACAAACTTTCAATTTACTGTGCCCCATCTCTCTCCATTTCTTTGCAGGTGCTTTGTCGTTCTAAGAGTCTGAATCAACATAAATTTAGCTTCCTCTCTCTTAATTAGCTATTGTGGGGTATAAATCACACATTTATCATAGGGTTTTAAAACTGTGTTTCATCCCCTTGTCCCTATTCAACCATCCCTGATCAGCCTTTGGAATAATTTTTTGTTCTATTGTGCATTTTAAAGCTATGAAGTAAAAACTTCACTGTGCTGTGTGGTACACATTTTGGGTCAAAGTGGCTCTCTTTGAGCCCCCAGTTTTGCGGCGTGTCTTTTTTTTTTTTTTTTTAATCCATTTTTTTCTGGGTTGAAGCCCTGTGCAAGTCTATTTAAAGAATCCATGCCATTCTGGTTTTCATTCAGAAAACATACCTGCTACTCCCATTCTCTTCTTTTAGCTGTAGATAACAACGCTGAGGGTAGATGGCAGCTTGGGTATGCCTGAGTAAAGGCCTGATCACACAACCAAAGAACCTGAGATTTGACCTGTGTTAAAAACCATGTTGAGTTTCACGTTCACACAGTGGTTTCCGGAGTGTGCATTTATTTTGCTCTAACTCGTATTTTCTTAGAAAGCGAGTTAAAATAAACAGGCACCAGAGGGCCATTTATTTTAGCACACTGTTTTCTTAATTGACTTAAGGCCGTTGTCAACGTTGCAACCAGTTTTAAAAGGGAACATCTCATTTACTCATTAGAAATGCTGGAAATGACTCAAAAACCACGTGACTTGAGTCAGTTAAAATTAAAATGCTACATACTGTATTGGTTTTTTTTTTTTTTTTTTTTTTTTTTTTTTTTAAAATTTAAAAAAGGGGGAGGGAAAAAGTTGCAGGGTAATGGGATTAAGCTTCTCCCACTACACAAAATACTAATCCAGATTGGAACCCAACCCCTGGCAGTCTCTCTGCTAAACATATACACGTACGTCTATAGATATACACAAGCAACCCAATTCATTGGATTTTGACACAATTCAAATAATTTCTAGTTTGAATGTTAGGATTTTTATCTTACATATTTAAAACACATCTAGCTTTATTTATTATTGCCATCCATTAGTTATTTTTAAGATGCTTTTAAAGGGTAAATACTAATAAAAGTGATAATAAATAAATGTACTAGAACTCTCAAGTACTATAAATACTGAATAATTCATAAAACCATAAAATGTTCTAGCAGCTTTGTGGGTGTGGGTGTGTGGTTTTTTTTTTTTTCCTGTTTTAGCCTTACCCATTTCTCTCCTTGGCACGTTGCCCGTTAGTGATACCTCTCCATACTTTCCCATTTTGGAGGCTCAGAATGAGAGATTTGGGTGCTGTTCCCATCTGACCATAGTTCTCGGAAATAGATTGACAGAATCAGCTGTAGAATGCTAGGTCCCATTTGTTCAGCGTGTCTATTCTTTCTGGTGCAGACAATGGGATGTTGAGCTTAGATCGGCCATCATTAGAAAAGGAAAATCCTTTGGGCTGAAGTGTTGCAGAAGGAGCTTCTCTCATCTCTTGAAGTTTGCACATTAGCCTGCGTTATTTTGCAATTGGTCTTCAGGATGCAAGCATGGGGTTGATTTAACATCTACTTTTCAATCTCTACAATAATTACATGCTTTCAGGTCTAGTCATCGGTTTGTCTGTAACTTACATACTGTATAAGGTTTGTTTGCCCTTAAACCCTTGTGAATTGAAAATATGGTATATGAGTGATCCTGATGAGTGGCATTCCCTTGTCATCTTCATGGACTACAGTGTAGTCATCATGCTTACTCCTGCCTGCTTGTCCTTGCTTCCCTCTCCTTTTCTCCTAGCGCCTCCTCATGTGTTTGTCTTGTTCTGCCTAGTACATTTCACCTTCCTTGTCTTTTCCTCACTCCTTCATCCACCTTGGGGTTTTTTCTGCCCTTTCACTTCAGTCTCCCTCCCCCCCCCTTTCCTTTTATTTTCTTCATGTCCTTCCTCCATAGCCACACAATTTGTTTTTTTAATGTTTCTTGTCCACTGCTGCTGGGGGTGGGGGATAGGTCCCATTTCTTGTGTGCTGGAGAGAAGGGATCAGTGAAGAAATGAGATTAAGCATTGAAAGCCAAAAAAGCTGAGGATTTCTGAAGGAAAAAACAACTGAAGGCTTCCTTTCTTTGCCAACATTAACAAAAATAACATGGAACAGCTTTGCATGTGGCTCCCTCTACAGTCATAGTTAATGTCTGCTGCTTGACCAGCTACTTTTTTTTTAACTGAATGCTATCTCCTCTTTACAGTTGGGAAGAGGGAACACTGTTTTTTCTTCCCTTCATCAGCCACTGTGTTAAAAGGTGTCGGTTCTAACCAATTCTTACACCTCTGCCAATTAAAATATATGGTCACACTTGCAGTTCACAAAGCCCTGTAAGGGCTGTCACCCAATTAGAAAAATCTTATTCAGTTATTTGCTGGAGCTTGCATTAATGGATCTGTCAAATCTACATCTATTATTGTATAAAGAAAAAGTAAAAGAAGCATCTTTTATTGTTGAAGGAAAAAAACATGTTTGGTTTTTTTAGATTATCATATGCTCACCTTGCAGCAGGCACCGTTTTGGAAGAGACAGTCTGCTCTGTGCCTCTTCTACAAGCGGTGCCTGCTGCCTGTTTTTTGTAAGCATTTGCAATAAAAGCAAGTAAGATTTTTAAAGAATTCATGCTTGAGTAACTGAGGACAGTTCTGTAATGGAGAGGGGGGGTTAAAACTGGAATTCCTTAATCCACTAGAAGCTGCAGCCCTGCTACTATACCATAACACATATACAGTCTCTCATTTGACATCACTAACTTGCTAAGGAATTGCTGCTTTTTTAAAAACCTTTTCATGTTTTCTTCATTGTCATGTTCAAAGTCATACAAGTTAATGCCTTGTGTTGTTTCCTAACCTGCTTCTTAGGCAATGTAGTTGATCTAACCAGGACCGCAGCAGTGCCATCAGGTGCTTCAGGCTGCTCTGAGCCAAGCAATCATGATCAGAACAATATCCCGCAAGTCTCAGAGGAAAGTAGTCTTTTGGTTAACGCTGATACTCCAGATGAATCTGAAGTTTCTTTCAAATGTAGGTAGCTGTTGCATTTTGTCTTCAGGATTAATTTGCTTAGATTACATGTGTTAGGCTAGCCTCCCCCCCCCCAAACCAGTTGCTTCAGGGACCATGGAAGTGATTTTGTATATTTGCTACAACAATCTAAGGTTTTCCATTTCAGCCAATGTCATGTGTCATGGTGGCCATAAGGGTAGGTCCATCCTATAGAATACCATTTTAACTCAATGTATCGTTTTTCTGATGATTCGGATTTATTTCATCCTCAGTTCTGTTTTAAATGGAGCTGGTTATTTTTACACTGAACCTTTGTAGTTTTAGCAAAGCCCAGCCAAAACTATGGAAGGGGAGGACAGGGGTAGCTGGCCTTTCCACAAAAAGCGCCCTCTCCCTGCTCGCCGAGCCCAGACAGCTCCTTGGTATACTTCTGAACTGCGGGCGATGAAGCGAGAGGGGAGACGGCTGGAGCGCAGGTGGAGGAAGGCCCGCTGGGAGTCTGCTCGAACACGACTTAGAGCCCATTATCGGGCCTGTTTCGTGGCAATACGGCTGGCGAAATGGCAATATTTCTCCAGCCGTATTGCTTCCTCAGAATGTCATCCAGCAGAGCTGTTTAGAGTGGTCCGGGATCTTCTTCAACCGGGAAATCCGGTGGAGGTCCCGGACTGCTCATCAGCTTGCTGTGATCAGTTTGCTATTCATTTTGAGGAGGAAAACGCTCAGATTCGCAGTGGGCTGGACTCCACTGTTACTGCAAAATCGGAAGATGTGTCCAGTGTGCCGTGCTTAGGTCAAACATTAATGGATGAGTTTCAGTTGTTGAGACCTGAGGATGTGGACAGGGTGCTTGGATCTGTCTGTTCTACTACCACTCCGCTCGACCTTTGCCCATCTTGGCTAACTGGAAGATCTTCCAGGGGGGTTCGCACTTGGGTCCAGGAGGCTGTGAACGCCTCTTTGAGAGAGGGAGTGGTCCCTACTGCTTTGAAAGGGGCGGTAATTCGACCACTCCTTAAAAAGCATAACCTGGACCCAAGGCTGGTGGTTAACTACCAACCAGTGGCGAACCCCCTTTATTTGGGCAAAGTATTGGAGTGGGTTGTGGCTGGGCAACTCCAGGCTCTGCTGGATGAAACGGATTTTCTGGATCCATTTCAATCAGGTTTCAGGCCGGGTTTTGGTACAGAGACTGCCTTGGTCACCCTGACCTTTGCCGGGAGAGAGACGGGGAGTGTGACCCTGCTGATACTCCTGAACCTCTCAGCGGCTTTCGATACCATCGACCATGGTGTCCTTCTGGATAGGCTGGCTGGTTTGGGAGTAGGGGGCACTGTTTTACGGTGGTTCCGCTCCTTCCTAGCTGACCGTATCCAGAGGGTGGTGCTGGGGGACAGTTGCTCTGCCCCATGGCATTTATGTCATGGGGTTCCTCAGGGCTCGATACTGTCCCCCATGCTGTTTAACATCTACATGAAACCGCTGGGAGAGGTCA